GAAGCTTTCGTCGCCACTTATTTTACATCCGTTACAGTTTGACATCGCCAAACGAAGAGTAATTGGACAAAAGCTAGAGAGGGAAATGGTAGCTGGTCACTTAAAACTAAACTCAAAGGCAACAAAAAAGAACTGTTCAAAGACTATATAACAACACATGTGGTAAGCGGAGTAATGAACATTTATGGCAAAGAAAATGACCTTGTTTCACATTTTCCTTTAATTATATGGTATCAGTATGTATTTGTAGCGATCTGTCAGTTAACAAGATCAGCGAACAGTGGCTGATTTTTAAACAGTTATCGACCACGGTTAATTTCTTAACCTCAGACCTGCAACCCTCTAATCTGGAGCACTGGAAAAACTTCGGCGAATTTCAAATCCCGTATTAATAACTAGGTTCAAGACAAACACAATTTTATGTAATCTGCTATCTTTTCAAATAAACTGCAAGGAGATTTTGTTATAAAACATTATAAATAGCTAACGTGGATTTATAATATTCTAATATCTACACAAGATCTATTCTTTGTCTTCGACTATGTACCAAATGCTATACCAAGTTCTCCTCACACAACGAAAATACAAAAACAACTCAACTTTGTTACAATATAAAAGCAAAGGTGGAAGTTGTTTCCACGTTATTTATTTCTTAATTTGATATAACACTAATTAGCTAAGGAGCTTTTGCCCCTACTCGGAAAGTATTGTTTGTGATTCTGTGTAAATATATTTCAGTTCCTTCGAATCCTGTAGTTTGGTTTAGATCGCAATGTCTTTGTTGGATTTTTGGAAATTGAACGTCACTGCTTTGTTTTGAGGCGACTGAGGATTTCGAAAAGGTGGACGCCGCCCCGGCAGTCGAAGGAAAAACAGGCACACTAGCTCCGCCTTCAGTCTTCGTATCGCCTACCAACAATTTCAATGCCGTCAAAGCCACTATGCTTCCACGTTACTGCAATTTGAAGATTCCTGCTCTAACGCGGTACTTCCCATTTAACTCAGTAAAACCGTTGGATCGCGGTTAGCTCATGAAACCAGACTCAGGGCAGCTTGGTGTTGACAATAGTTTCTCTCACAGACAGTTGTCTCCACTTGACAGTGCCATCGCCTCCACAAGAGAACAACTGACCATTGTGCAGGTTCATAAGTGCCACGCCCTGTGTGCCATACTTGAGGAGGTAAGCTCCTTTACCGTGTTCTTTTGGATAACACTCTAATTCTTCGTGAACAGATAAGCCCCAGACCTAAAATTGAAACAAAAACAAATACCATTTTCCACCAATAAAACCAAGATCGTTTTCGTCTACAACAATGCTCTTTACTGGAGCATCATGGGCCAAAAATGTGTGTCGCAGTTGGCGTTGCCGGAGATCAAATATACCTTACATCAGTTAAGGACGTAGAACGAGCCTGTTGGTAACATTAGATCCAGTGTTTATTGCATCTTCGCGGCAAATGCAAAGACAAAGGAAATTTAGTATATAGAGACAAAAAATACCTTCCGAGAAAGTAATCCGCTACTCTGAGCTGAGAGGATTAGGAACATTTTGCCAGTCTTTCCATTTCTAAAGTACTTTTCGTGATTTTGTTTGTTTTGGTCTTAGTATCTTTCTCCATACTGATAAACGTTTGTTGTATCTTAGGCTCTATTCAGTCTCCCCCCACGCCACTTCCGACCTGAAACTGTAGCTGTTTGAGAGTTGGATTTTTAACGAAGATTTTATTGCTTATAAAAATTCTTGTTGCTGTTGAAATACACCTAACTACGCCCTTGTCTACGAGGTTGAAACTCACTTTACCCACCCTATCCATCCGTATTATAGGTCTTACTTCACCCACCCCACCCACGGGATGAAAAAATACCGAATGCGACTATTAAGTATAGTATTCAAGGATACAAATATTTCCTTTCCGCCCTCCTGAAATGAGAAGCTGTTGGCCAGGAACATAGGCAAGACAAGGTGCTCCATTCTCATGACAAATAAATGCTGAAGAAAAAGAAACAAAAACAATTCCTTGTTACTACAAAAAGCAGGATCCTGAAATCCTTCATACTTCGTTTGAAATCCTTCAATATTTCTAAAGAAACAGCTGTTTCCCTCAAAAAGTTTGGAAGAACACAAATTGGTCTTCTATCTGACTGAACTCATAACTCCGTGTAACAAAATCTCCCCGTCCGTTCCCCGGTAAATCTGTCGTTGATCCAGCCTACTATTCCCTTTGCCCACCCTCAGAAGGGTTGATTATGTCATAAGCTAGTCTGAAGTCATCAACGACGGTTTTGAATCTCGCGCTCGGAAATTAGCTAAACGTCGGTTCTTTCAAACCTTTGTAATAATAACAAAAGAGCCTCAAGGCTACAGGCAATTGAAATAGTCAGAAAAGGAAAGTGACGCCGCGCCATTGTCCACCAAAATTCAAACCCCAAGTTTGATATGTTAGGAATGGAGAATTCTCAGGAAAGAATACACGATTTCCGTTAAACTAGTGCAAGCTCAAAGCACTTATGCATAAATTCCATCATAAAAAATTGCCATCTGCTTTTAATCATTATTTTACTACAGTTAATGAAATTCATGCCTATAATACGAGACTTGCTTCCA